CTATATATGACAGTCATTCACCATGCAAGATCTCATCAGTGGATAAAAATTGAGTGAACATTTAAATATGAAGATCAACTTAGTTCCATGAACTGTCTTTCAAACCACTGCTGAAAGAAGAGAAACACGTGAAAGAATATTTCTTCCAAATTGATCCATTGTCCTCTGATTAATTTTTCTCTAAGAAGCAATATACTGTAGTAGACAGTATACTGTATCCATTGAACTACATGTACAGTATACAATATTAAAATAACACTGAACTGAAGGAAATATAGCCACCTGTTTTTTTTCTTGAGAGAATCATTGAAAAATTTGAACAGCAGACTAAAATGGACAGGCAAATTTACTGCTTAGAAATTTTGTTTTAAATAAAATCTTGATTGAAAAAAACGTTTTCTGTAAAACTAGCATCTTTTGAAATTTATAAAGTGTTGCCACCTGTTATTCCTGAAAATAAAATAGATCTACTGTACTGTACAGTATTTCTGTGAGGAAGACATGACAGTAACTTTAGTGATATACTTTACCTATGTTGCATTTAACATTTTCATACAAATAAACTTAGTAAAAAAGTGCTTTCTACAGAAGACAAAGCATACTGAATTTAAAAAACCCATGTCATTGATGCAGTCAATAAGGGCTGTAATTTCCCCAAATATTTTAAAGGATTCATTATTTTATTTCTGGTCATGAAGAAAAATAAGAAAATGCTGAAAGGAAAACTCACCTTTAGACCTTTGTTCAGGAGATTTTCAATCTTATTCTTGACTGAGCGTCCCATGTCTGGAAATATTTTGGTTTGCACCTTTCTAGAATTGTGATACACAGTTTTGCCAACATGAATGGCCTCTCTGACTGGTATCAGATCCAGGAACTGAAAATAGTAGGTGAACTCCTTGGGTTCCACTGGCAGTCTGAAGTTGAAGTAGTAGTTGTAGGCAGTGACATTGGTGAACATGGAGGTGTGTCCTGGTGTCATCACTCCTCCAAGAATGGTGTCTATCAACTGCTCATCATAATGTGCAGGAAAAAATAATACAAAGTGATTAAAACATCAAGATTTTAAGGATAAACGTTCCTAGAAATGATGCATTTGCTTCTATATTCCCACCCCAATATCAAGAACTACAGTGGTATCCAAAAAAGGCATACTGTATAATACAGTGGGGCCCTAAGATGCGTATGTCATTGGTGCTTGGGCCTTATCCCCATGTAAATCAATGAACATCAGCAGATGCTAGATCACATTTTTTCTTTTGACTTCAAGGGAAACTTTGAAATTATTTCTCCAGTTGACTAAGAATTAGGAATAATTACCCCAAAAAATTAACTGAATAAACATCGTTTGTCAATTTCAAGATGCAGAAAATAACTGCTGTGCAGAAGAAAACCATAGAAATGCTGACCTCATGGCATCAAAATAAGGAGCACAAAAAGCTAAAAATAAGTGCAAGTCCTTGATGTACACTGTGCACAGATGATGGGAAGAACTCTGAAAAAGGAGCACACAATAAGGAGTCTTTTTTGAGGATGAATTTGAGTGAATTTGTAAAAAATGAATTTTTCTTATTAAAAAAGCAGCTCAATTTTTAAAAGTTATCAAAACCTGAAGAAATAAAATTTTCCCCTCAGCTGGAAATGTTGGAAAGTGTCCGCATCTTGAGACATTGTTCAGATGTTGGGGCAGATATTTCAGATTTTGTGTTTCTTTTATTATTTGAGACCTCTGACAGAAACTGCAATCTTGTTGGCAGGCTATATACTGAGGAAAAAATTAATAATTGAGGTAGGGATCATATTATTTGAGATATCAATAATTTTGGCTGATGGCGTTTTAACTTGGTGTACAATGTTTTATCATCAGGAAAGATTTTTTTTTCAAAATGAAATTGCATGCAGTTAGTTGCTAGAAGGCAGGTGACATCTTTTAATGGTGTTTGACTGTACAGTATATGTAATACTGTAGTATAATCACTTTTGATGCCCTCCAGTATGCAAATTTCTTTGACTTTTTGCTTAAAATATCTTTGTATATTGATTGTCATGGGTCCATTGGATCCCAGACAAAGGAATTGAATTGTGCAGCCATCAGAATGCAAGTTTTGAATAAGAACTCAAACTCCTCACAGAGGAATTCATTCTCATTGCCCACAGATTGTCACTTGGCAGTTAATGAAATGCTTGTTTGGAATGGGAGAGTCGATTTCAAGGTTGGTTAGCTCAGAAGAACATATAAGATGATTTTAGTTAAAAGGCCCTTTAACACTAGATTCTCACTTCTCCTCTCAAAGAGGAATGAAGGCTTTCATACTCAGGTTCTTGGACTACATTTCAGGAAGAAATCATGTGATTTCTTCCTGTCTGCATCACACATGGATCATGTGATAATGTTAGGAAGAAATCCTGTGATTTCATCCTGGCTCAGGATTGGCCAATTTAGGGAAAATCAAGGAAGTGATGACCACTTCTTGGCCTTGGGTGAGGCTCAGTGAGTCTGGATTTTGGCAAGGCTCACTGGCCTTGAGAATGCAACAAGTTTTCTCAGCCAGTTGCAGCTGGATGCAGTAGCTGCGCCGCTTTGGGATGTGACATATATCAATTGTTCCCATAAAAAAAAACAAGGCACTGTATACTGTACATAGGGATTTAGGAACAGTAACTTGAAAATTATTACAGGTGGACTCTCTGTACAACAAAGTTCAAAGGGGTATATATAGAGAACCCCTATAACATGAGGACGAAAGGACCCTTTGGGACCAAAAAATCCTCCTACTGTAAAGAGAAAACCAGCATTGTAGACAATGTTGTTGTAGAAGAGAGAGACAGAGAGAGGGAATTCACCTCACAGAAGCAATTTCTACAGTTTTTATCAAGATTTTAGAGTCATTTATAATAGTCACAGCATCCGGAATGATATAAATAAAATTCCACTTATACAGTAGTTTATATTCGATCACGTATATATACAGCAGAAACAAATGAAACAAAAACAAGACAAAAACTTACCCTGGCTGCCAGGGTCCATTTTTCTTTCTTGATCTGCTGCCTGGCAGCCTGGGCGAGTTCCCTGAACCTGTCTCTCTCCTCGTAACCCGCCATGCCGATGGTGAAGAGGAAGTCTCCCCAATGGATCATGTTGATGGGATCGCAAAACCCGTTCCCGATCCCTATTCCCTTCAAGTACTAGAACACGAGGCCTCCGTTGTGGGGCAAAAGGTGGCACTAGAACACCCGGTTTCTGCGGCGCATAAAGGGCGGCATCCTGAGCGGGTACTACATGTCGACAGACAAGGCGACAAGCCCCTTGTAGATGAGGAACTGCTGCAAGAACGAGTACAGGTCTCGAGCGACATCTTCTTGACTAGTTGCGTAGCACTCGTCTCTCGCTGTGTAACTGAAACCTATATGTCACGTGTACAGGTTACATAGAAGTCGAATTTCTTTGCCACAGATGATGGGGGGAGCTATTCTTTGTGTGACCCCACAACTGGTGCACACTTGAGTCACAACTGGTTTACATGGGCTATTCTGGGGTTACATGCATGAACCTCTGTTGATGAAATGTTGCTACCATTCCAGGACTACATTTGGTGCACAAGTGTGACATACCAGGAATATCACACAAATGCACCAACTGTAACCTTGGTGTAACTTATTCATTACAAGTGTGACACTGAGTAAACCTGCTGGTGTGAACACATAATTGGTGCACATTAGAGATATGCATGTGCAACAGAAGAGCTTTGGTACACTTCTGGTGCACAGCAGGGTCACTGTGTAGAATTACAAACACATCCCCAGTGTGCACCAATTTCCCCACTTAAGGAGAAAATGAACAAACCCATCATCATAGAGGTCCTTGGAAAAAAATTGTTATACTCTAAAAAGATTCATGGGTCCTTCAGCATGCTTTAGGACTGAACTTTAGTGGGAAACAGGCAATCAATTCTCACCAGCGCACTGCATACTTTACTTTCACAATATATATATGTGAGGGATTTCCTCAAATTTTAAACTCATTTGTTAAGGAAATAATGGAGGAAATCCAAAATCTTAAATGCAGTAGTATGCTGAATTCTGATTTCAGAGTTTCCTCGCTGATTGTGTTACAGTATAAACAACACCAATCTCACCAAAACTTGAGCTGAAACAAGCAGAAAATACAGCATTTATATTCAATGCAAGGACTGATGTAATTTTCCTGAAACATATACTTTTTCTTTAAAAAACAATTTGCCATCTGTAAATTCTGAAGCTAAGAAAATTTTGATTAGTGCTTCACACTTCCTGTAATGGTAAATTATCTGTGCAAAATTACTAGCATCAACATTTTTGATTTTTTTCAGTCATGCAGAAGTTGAGTTTTCCCACATTGTACCAATTAGCAAAATTGTCTTTGACCCACACACACATAAGACAAAAATCATTACAATGAAATCATATACTGTAAGTGTAGACTGTAGAGGGAAATTTGTCTGAAATGACAAATTTTTATAATATTTTTCCTTTACAAAAACTGCTGGGATCTATATAAAAAAAGTTGCCCAAGTTGGAAGTTGGGCAATTCTTCAGAAATATGTTGATGTGGAAGTGTACAGTGCTTATTATTGGGCTTCTACTACTGCCTGTTTCCCACAAAATTTCAGTCCCACATGCTGAAAGAACCAATGCATCTCGTTGTAAAAAATTTATCATTAAAACAAATTTCTTCTCAGTTACATGAGAGCTGATTTTAATGCAATTTTACTTTAATAATTGGTGCTAACCTTTATTCAATGCATATTTCAAATGTAATTTTGTAAAATACTGTAAATGCTGCTTCTGGTAACTTTGGTCCTACATAGTTCAAAATACAGTATATACATAGTATGTGTATATATACTGTATATGTCCGATTGGCAATGAGCAGATAAACTTCTGTTTGTAAACAAAATTGAATCTCTGTATATAACGCGATTTTTTGTAAAGGAAATTTTACTGCATTGATATAATAGAAAAGATTGACTTGCCAATGCCAACAGGATTGTCCACATAGAGAACTCCGTGTGTCCTGGACCAGTCGTGATATCTGGCATAGACTTTGAGTTGCGAGTCCACGAACCAAGGCCCATGTTCCAGGAACAAACTGAAGAGTCCAGATCCCCCGGGCAACCAAAGGATCAGAGGCGCCGTTTCTGAATTCTCTTTGGCCGCCGTGTACCAAAAAAACAGGTTTGAATCGCAGGACTTGTTCACTGTGATGTAACCTGCGAAGATGAAGCGAAAAATTGAAGAAGAAAAAAAAACAGTAATGGCATCATTCACTGATTTTCTACATCGAGATCAAGACAGTTTCACCCTTCTCTCACTTACAATGATTTTTTGAAGCAATAAATCCAAGTTTAAAATTTCCTTATTATTAATTATATTGATATTTATTTACAGTACTTTATATTTCATTTCTTCATCAGATGACATGGCAATTTTTACTGCTAGTTATTTACCAGTGGTTGACTAGTTGATAACTAGGAGAAAGCACCCTGCAATGACCTCTTCAAAGCCCATCAAGGCCAGGTAGCCAACTATTATAGGCTAAAGTAGCTAAAGTTTCCCCTGAGAGAAGATGAAAAAATAAATATGACCATTATGATTGCCCATTGTCAACCAATTTCTGACTGGTTATCTATAACGGATAGAAATTATAACACCTCTGTGAGGTTACTTGAAAATATTGGAATTTTTGGAATCATAAGAAATGCCTGTCTTTGTATTTTTGCAAAAAGCCAGACTTTGTTCAATTTAACAAGGCCTGACAAAATATTTTGGATTTGCTAATATTATCCCATCCATTTCCTACAGTTTTGTTTCTTTGCAAAAGCAAGGCTGTGTTTGATAGAAGCTTGACAGAGAAGGCATAACTGTAGGTGGAACAATACCCCCCCCCCCCTGTTTTATGTTTTTAACACTAAACAGAGTTTTATTTTGAAGATAAATTATTCTTTTCTAAAATCCCCCACAGAATATCCGAAAATTATTCTAGTCTTAGGAAAAAGAAATTAGTGGAATAAATTACTTTCTTCCAAAACAAGGGGGTTCCTTAGGTCCCATTTTATTGTCAGTTTAATTTCCCACAAAAGGACAGATGCAATAAGTAAAATTTGGAAAATCAGCATGTTCTGGCTGGGAACATGCATACAGCAAGGGTCACCTTGAGTACATGTCCATGTCCTTGAGTACTTAACAATATAGCTTTCCAAAAGATTTCCTGAACAATTTAAATTAAAGAAATGATCCACTTTAGCAACACAAGCACTGCAATCATCAAACAATGGATTAATATAAAGTTGTGCACACACTCAACAAATAACAGCACAGCAATGAATAACTGATCAGAGAAAGATTAAAAATTGAAGTGGCCATTATTTTCACTTCATAGGTTGAGTGAGGTTGTTGATTGAAAAGTTAAAAGAAGAAGAGTATAAATAACCTCCATTCATTCACCCCCCCCCCCCCTTCTCAGAGGAGCATTCTCTATCCACAACACCATTGACTTCATTATATGCATGATAAGACTCTTCCTGTAATTTCATTTTAAGCACATCACCAAAAACTGAAAATAACAAACCTGAATGAGTAGGAACCCCAGCATTGTTGAGTAACTCCAAATCAGGGAAAAGAGTGGCATTAATTTTGACCAGGGAAGCTTCCCTGGCTTCCTGGAACTTTCCATCCTCTAGAAACTTTGTGAGGTACAATGCATGACCCATGTTGAGATGCTGTCCATTGAAAATTTCCAACAGCTGCTGCTGTTGCGGCAAGGATGGATTAAAGGCAACAGCTGGACTTCGCGCATTATTATTGTTGTTGCTCCTGATGATTGACTCACTGCGTTCTGGTGCCAACATTTGCATGTCACTTGATGTGGGTTATGGAAAAGTGTGAGAGGAAATTATTTAAATACAGTACAAAGGTGTCCTGACTCTTGAAAAGGGGACGCCTTGACATACAAGTGTGGACAATTCAAGTTGGAGACACTTCAAACCCAGAAGTTTCTGTCAAAATTTCCATAAAATGTGAAAGGTTCCATTTTAAACATTTTCATATCTCCTGCATGAAAAAACAAAATTTTTCTGAAGTCTAAAATTCAAATTACTGTTTAGTATTTATAAATTTACTCAAACAGCCTTATTTATAATTCAAAAAGGCAAACTTTATGCCTCTCTAGCTGTTTAAAGTTTTTTTTTCTTCATAAACTGAGGACAATACAGTGGCCCCCTGCCTAACGGACCTCCCGTGTAAGGGATTTTCGCTGAACAGACCAGCTCTGCAAGCAGTTTTTCCTCCCACCCAACAGACAAAATCCACCAAACAGACTTATTTTGGTTTAAAATTAGTGTTGAAAATTGAAATTTTCAATTTTTTATGTAATTGAATTTTTGTAAAGGACTTTTTGTCCAACAGACTTGTCCCTTGCACAAATCAAGTCCGTTAGATGGGGGTTGTGTGTATTTCAATAAAAGTGCTTGTTTTTTATTTTTTCCAGACTGCATTGATTGCAAAAATGGCAGATTTGGTGCGGCTTCCTTCTGCATAGCAAGTTTCCGCATTTTGAAAAAAAGAAGAAAAGTGGTAATTAAGAAACTTGACTCAGCATATGTTTCTTATAATGAATTAATGAATGAACAGAACACTTTATTTGCCACTTTTCTTTTTAGCATTCACAAGGTTCAATCAAGATTTCCACAATCAAACCCCCTTCCCACCCAACCCAAATCCACTCAATGACATTTAATCACTTCCGTTTCTTATAACGGATTTTCTCTTGGTCCCAGCAGTTTCTCCATAGGAAAAATGTCTGAGATATTTGTTCACAACAAACTCATCTTCAGCAATAATTTCAGCCTGACGCATTCAATATATTTTGCCTTGAATAAGCGTGCATAAGAATTTTTCAATAATTTGCACAACATTGGAAAATCCAACTTGTGCATTGTACAAAATCATCCAAAAAAGTAATGCTAATTTTCGTGTAGAGAAAATGTAGCATAATTGCAGGAAGTAAGAAATATAACGCTCATTAGAATTTACCCACCGCAGTTTCATCTTGAAATTTAAATAGGGGTATTTTATTTACAATTACAGTAATATACAGTAGGTTTAAAATAATATAGTGTACTGTACTGCCATACTTCTGCAATATTAATGAAATGCTCTTCATCCTTACGACATGTATTTATGTTCGTTTTACAGTGCATTCCAGTAAGATCAGTAAATTTGTTTGAAGGCAATTCAAGACAGGAAAGGTCTCAAATTTTGCTGCATTTTACATTTTTAATGCTAATTTCTGTACTACATATATAGATGGGAAATTGAAAATGCTGAAGATTATTTAAAAATCTATCGTGGAGGCACTTTGATGCGATCATATATCACCTGTTTCCCACAAAATATCAGACCTAAAAAATTTCAAAGAAGCATTAATTTTATTATGCCGAATTTTGCATAGTAATTTTTTCATCGGAATAGAGAGGTTTTAATCCGAATGCATAGATATCCTAAATAATGTACATTTTATAGCTTTCAATTTAAAAAAACTCAAAACATGCCTATAATTCGTAGAAACACTTCCTGTTTTTCAATTCATCTCAAATAATTAATTTCATCATGTTCCCATGCGATTAAAAAAAAGAAGATTAAGCAAAATATGAAAATCTTACAAGAAACCAAAAGCAGAGACGACGTTCCAATCAATTTTTCGCGAAAAACCACGAGGAAAACTCTGCAATTTATTTCATACTCTACATAAGCAATTTATTAACTCAAAATTCGAGGGTCATCATGCATCAGAAAATTGCACGCGTCTCGAGAGCATATAATAGCTTTGTTCGACTTTTATACTAGAAGGAATTATTACAACATACTGCATTGAAGAATCACTTTATTTAAAAAATGAAAAAAAAAACGATTCATCCATCATGAATCAAATATGTTGATTATGTTCACTCACGATTTCAGCAGCACCTCCGCTGTTTTGCCACTCGGCAAATCTCCGTGGCAAGACGTCACAAGCAGGAGAAAAAGAATCAAGAATCCTCTCGTCATGTTTGTCTCTTTGGCAAAAAAAAAAACAAGACAAAAGAAAACATCAATAAAATATCCAAGATATCATAAGCAACATAAATGACGAGAACATGGAATTTTTTTGCGACTTCGAAAAACCAGATGTACCCTAAATTTAATTGAATATTTATAAGCTGTACCAACGTCGTTCGTTTTCCGCAGCAGTTGCGAAACTCGCGTCGTAGAATTTTGATTTCGGAACTGATGAAGAGAAAACAAATCCCAGGAAGACTTGGGAACGAGATAAATAAATAAAATGAAATAACTCCGTCTGCTTTGTTCCTAATATATCCTGAAAGTGGTGAAATTGAATGTCGTCCCTGGTGGTCCAGGAATTTTTCTCACAGGCTTCTTTTTTTCTTATCGTAATGGAAGGTGTGCGTTTCATTCAAAGATCCGTGGTTCAATCCGGGTTTTGATATCCGCTGGCATCTCGTTGTAATTTCCTCTATAAATATTCCCAGGGAAAAATCAGTAAAATAAACTACGCATGGATTGTTATTGTCTGAATTCAAAATCTTCTCACCATATTTCAACCCACAACATTGTAGTTTTTGGAGCATCTTCTTTGAAGATCCACGGGTTAGGTCTTTTACAAGCTGTAATATGGCTGGTTATTAGTTTCCAGCGACATCTAGGTGACATTCAAAAAAGCGACGTCGGCATTCCAGTAAAAAATGCACCCATTATCTGCTGCTTCCACAAAACTGGCTGCTGCAGCCCAACTGTATGGTTCTGAATATACAAGCTGAAATATTCAGAAAATTATTTAAATTTGTACATCACTATTATGCTTTTTGATATACAGTACCATCAAGCCTCTTATTTAGGTGGAATTTCAGGGCCAGCAAAAAAATTGGGGGGGGGGGGGGGGTTTCAGGAGAGAAAATAACCATTTGTGTTATTGGGAGAAAGAAAGAGGAATTACAAGAAATTTGTAATTGGGGTCATTCTGGGCCTCAACCCTAGGACAGCAGAAAGTTCCATTCAATTGTGCAGCAGAGTTGGAATATTTTTGGGGGATGGCAAATTTCAGTTTGATGACCCAAGGTCACTGAAATGCTACCAAGTTGGGAAGGCAGAAGTTGGGAAAAATCCAGGAGGCAAATTTTCAATGATTTTCAGGAATTTTCCATGCTAATCCTATTCCAGGAATGCAGGAAAAAATGTCACGCAGTCAGAAATTTCTATTTTTCATAGACAATTTTCTGCAGGATTAGACAAAAATATTGAGCTTTTTCCCAACTCACGCCTTGGTACAAAAGTATGATTTTTTAAATTTCCAGTGCTCAGCGGCAAATGATTTTGCAAAAATATCCCAATTTGGCCACACAAGGATTAAATTGCTTCTTGAATGAGTTAACAGGATGTTAAACTTGGAGTGGAGGCAAGAGTTCATTTGTTTGATTAGTCTTTCACTTTGTTTCAAAACATTGTGACTTTTTTGCTTTTGCCTTACTTGTGTCCATAAAATAATAGCCAAAAAGTCTCCAAAAAATGAGTTAAGGAGGTTTGAGGAGTATAAAGCTTTGGAATAAAGGATGTTTGTATTACATGGTTCCTTGAGGAATCAAGACAGGGTATTGGAAAAATTAGATATGAGGAGTTTTTTTACTTCTACTGTATATAGAGAGGTTTGAGTTATTGAGGTTCAACTGCATGGAAATTGTGGCTCACAACAAAATCAGTTAAATTCATCTTGTCTGAAGAAAGATCCGCAGAATGGACGATTCTCTGTGGGCAAAACATATTAGTAGGATGCCATTTTTTTCAATGCCATGGTATGCAAATGTTCAAAAACATTCAGAAAAAAATGCATGCTGAATTTTTCCTTCACTAATAGGCATGCTTTGTAAATATAAATGAAAACTTCATGCAACAAATCTTTCATCACACAAAGTAGAGTACAGCACAGTGAGACCTCCAGATGTGGACATAATTGGCACATCAAGAGTGTCCCTAAGTTGAGTCTTGTTTTCCCGTAGACTTAGATTATTTAATTTTAATAGGTGTTCTATGGAAGAAATATTCTTCAGAATTCCATGAAAAAAAATTTGTTTGCCCTTTGAATTTGATTCAGTGAATATCTTTTCAACCCAATAAGAACATTTGGAGCATTGAATAGTATACCACTGTTCAGTTCTTTGAAATGTTGGCATCCGTAAAAGTAACATCCAAGTCAAAAAACATAGAAGGAAGTCCCTCTGTGCTACAGGTAATATTTTTTAAATTAGCGGAATGCATGGGAAAGTGATAGGAAAAGTACCAAAGATTTTTTTTGCTTGCATCTCAGGGTTTGAAATATCTCTTTCTTGCAATCAAGCCTAATAAAAGTCAATTTTCCTAAAATTTATTGGCAATTTTATCATGCCATGTCCTCATGTCAAGTCAGTGTCTGTATGTTGGGCCTTTTTTATGCCCTATTTATTGAATAATAAATGTCCCTATGTCAAATTGTCCCCATGTCAAGGTGTCCACATGTGGGGGTCTCACTGCATTTTAGCAACACCATCAGATCCATCAGACAATTATAATAAAACAATGATGACAACTATAGATGTATATACAGTGAGACCCCACATAGGGATGCCTTGACCTGGGGACAATTCAACATAGGGAGACTTATTTTCCCAGAAAAAATAAATAAATAAGGCCCAACATGAGGAAACTGACTCAACATAGGGACATTTTGTGATGAAATTGCAAATACATTTCAGGCCAAATTACAAGAAACAGATATTTCCAACCGTAAAATTGATGTAAGAAAAGTTCTTGGGCATTTCTCTCACCCAATTACCAATCATTTAGCTAATTAAAAAACTTACCTCCAGCATAGAGGGACTTCTACTTTTTTCACTTGCATGTTATTTTTGTAGATGCCAACATTTCAGTGTACAGCACAGAGATGCACTATTCAATGCTCCAAATATCCTTATCGAGTTGAAAATGTATTCAGTAATTAAAATTCAGGTGGCAAACAATTTGTTTCAGGGAATTCTGAAGAATATTTCTTCCATGAAACACCAATTAAAAATTATATAACGTAAATCTATGGGAAAACAAGACTCGACTTAGGGACATTTCAACTTGGGGACACTCTTGATGCACCAATTACGTCTGCATCTTGGGGTCTCACTGTATATATATATATATATGCAGCTGTGGAAATAAATCACCTTCAAGAACAACCTCCTCTGTCCAAGTCCCATTGCCCGCACACACGTAGTACTTGATAGCTTCCCCTTTCTTGTAGTAGGTCAGGTTGGCGAGAATCGGGTGCACCAGGACACCCGGGTTACCCACAAAGACATACCCATCCGGCAACGGGGGCAGGTCAGCAGCCAGACAATACGGAGTCGAAGGAAGAGGCACGGAACAGGTCAAATTCACCCCGATGACGACGAGATTCATCATCGTGGATGACGGGGTCCAATTGCCGACGGACGAGTCGCAAGTCAGGACTAACTGGTTGTCTGAGATATTCAAGTTTGTCGAGTTGATGAATTTCGTTGCTGTGGATGCTGATAGAGTCCAGTTGGGGTTGGGGCAGGTATAGGCGACTGTGGTGCTCGAATTTATCCAACCACCGGTGGCGTTGAGATGAACGCCAGGAAATACCCTTGAAGAAAGGTGAGAATCATGCAGTAAAAATAGCTTTCTACACAGAGCAGTATGTTTATGGGGGTACCCAACCAAAAGCCTCCCCACCACTTTTTCAAAATTGGATGCAAGTTTCATAATACAGTAGTATTTGGTGGCCCTGAGAAGGGCTATTTGGGTTCGTTAGTCCTCAAAAGGACTGTTCAATAATCATCTTCAACATTGCCTTCTGATGCCTCTTCCTCACTGTCACTGATGCTCTCCATGTCATTTTCTTCTAAATAGCCATTTTAGCATGCAATTTGATTGCCGTTTGGATTTTTGATGATCTGAAGTGCACCAGCCATTGGACCTACAAGGTGAACTGTAGACTTTGCAGAAGTCAGCAAGTGATGATGCTTTGTCATTCAAAGAATCACTGATGACCAATGCAGGTGAAGAATCTCTTTATATACTAATCTTACCTACATATTGGTACTTGGACTTGTGCTGGGCCTGCTGGTGAAAGGTGCAGCTTGCCATCAAGAGTTACAAGAATACCAGGTGAAAGGTGCAGCTTACCACCAAGAGTTAAAAGAATACCTGTAATCCCCAATTGTTGCACCAAGGAGGGCTTTTGGCAGATGGGCTTTTGGACTACACCATTTTATGGCCTTTGGACAGGCAAATTTCCATAAAAATATTTTGCAGACCCATGCATGCATTATGAAAGCAATTTCTGCAGACCAGGAGCAAAGTTTCAAAAAGTTTTTGCAGACTCAAAAAAGTGTTGCTTGAAAGACTTTATGGCAGGTATTTAACCCTTGGACAGCAGAGGGTTCTTTCCCATTGTTGGCCAAAGTCAGATTATTTTCATCTGCTGGGGCATTTCAAGTTTTCTGAAGGTCAGAAAAGCCCTTCCAGGTGGGCTGAGGTAAAGTTGGGATTAGTCAGCAAAAAGCCTGTTGCATAACATAACATTTTTTTTTATTTTCCTACAACATTTTTCTGCACAAAAAGAAAAACAAACATTGGGATTTTTCCCAACTTTGTCCTCAACTCCCTCTTGTCATTTTTTCTTTTCCTCTCTGAGGCGCAAAGAAATTTTGCAAAAATAGTCCAACTTTCCCACCCAAGGATTAAAAATGTTTCTTACTTCCTCTTTAAAAATTGAGTTAACCCTTGGGCAGAAGCAGGTTCTTTTGCATTGTGCAATGGTGCTAGCTAGGCTTCTGCATTTTGGTTTGACCAAAGGTCACCAAAATGCAGATTTGGCTGAATAGCCAATGTTGGGAAAAATCCCCAAAAAAGTCTTTGTTCCCCTAATCCCTTAATGCTGATCTTAGGAGAGGAATGCAGAAAAAATGCCACCCAACAGATACCTTTTCTTTTTTTTCCTGAAAATTTTTCTGCAGAAATGCTAAAAAATTTGGATTTTCCCAACTTTGACACTTCTGATCATTCTTGTTTCCCCTTTTTTCTGCTCCTTCTGGTGTACAATTCTGTGGATAAATCCTGGCACCACCACCCAAGGGTTAAGAACCCATGAAGCAGCTATAGTGGAATGTCTTCAAAAATTAGAAAGGTGGGCTTGAAGAAAGGTTTCTAAGAATGAAAGAATACAATAATATAACTTCAGCAGGTGAACATTTCTCTGAAGTGTTATTAGGAGAAAATCCAACCATTATTTTTCATCAGAAAATTTCAATTGCCATTGTCTTCCAAAAATTGCAGATAAAGATAACAGACTTCATTGCTACTTTTGAGAAATTCATTAGGCTGAAGAAAATTCCCTGCAGACCTGTCAAAAACACAACATGAAAAACACTGTCTAGAGATGTCTGAGCATAAAAAAATACTAGACCAGGGTGTTGTCCAAAAGCCCTCATCTGAAAGCCCCTCTGCCTAAAACCCACGTAGGTCAAAAGTTGCCATTGCCCAAAGCCCCCCCCCCCCCTCAGTTCATGAAAAAAATCAGGGATTACTGGCATTCTTGTAACTCTTGATGGTAAGCTGCACCTTTCACCAGCAAGCCCAGGACGAGGCCAAGTACCAATATGTTTGTAAGTTGAGTATATAGAAGGATTCCTCACCTGCAGTGGTCATCAGTGATTCTTTGAATGTCAAAGCATCATCACTTGCTGACTTCTGCAAAATCTACAGTTCACCTTCCTGAGTGGGGAAATTGGTGCACCCTGGGGATATGTTTGTAATTCTACACAGTGATCCTGCTGTGCACCTGAAGTGTACCAAAGTTCTTCACTTCTTCTGTTGCACATGTATATCCCTAATCTGCACCAACTGTGTGTTCACACCAAGATTACTCAGGGTCACGTTTGTAGACAAGTAAGTTACATCAAGGTTACAGTTGGTGCATTTGTGTGATACTCCTGTTATGTCACATTTGTGCACCAAGTGTAGCCCTGGAATGGTAGCAAAATTTTCTCTGCAGGAGTGCACGCTTGTAACCCCAGAATATCCCATATGCACCAGTTGTGACCCTGGTGTACACCTACTGTGGGGTCACAGCAAAAATAGCTCTCCACTGGGGTGTTTTTAAAGGTGGATTGGAAAAATTCCATGCGTTCATCTTCTCAAAATGCATTATAAACATTAAACTTTCTACAGCTATCTTGTCTATAGAACAATATTATCTGCATAACAAATAAATATATATATATTTTGTCCCAAAGGGTTCTCTACAGCAAATAGCTCCCCAAGTGGCTCCCAGTGCTGTGACCCCACAGTAGGTTCACACCAGGGTCACAAATGGTGCATATGGGATATTCTGGGGTTACAAGTGTGCACTCCTGTAGAGGAAACTTTGCTACCATTCCAGGGTTACACTTGGTGCACAAATGTGACATAACAGGAGTATTTCACAAATGCACCAACTGTAGCCTTGGTGTAACTTATTTCTTTACAAATGAGACCCTGAGTAATCCTGGTGTGAACACACAATTGGTGCACATTGGAGATATGCATGTGCAACAGAAGAACTTTGGTACACTTCACGTACACAGCAGGGTCACTGTGTAGAATTACAAACAAATCTGCAGTGTGCACCAATTTCCCCACTCCAGTAATTATTTTTTTCTGGTCCCTTTGGATTTTGTTGTATAGAGAGAGTCCACCTGTGTTCAGAAACACGGGGAATTGTGTGATTTTCGCAATAAATGTGACACTCTTTTGTGCCTTTTTTTTCTCATAGGATCCCAGAGTGACGGGGATGGGTTCAAGAAGTCCTCCAGGCACAGATCCTCCTTCGCCATCCCGAAAGAGCCGAAAGCCAAAGACCACGTGTCGCAGTGGATGTGGCCCTTCAGTTTCAAAAAGCACAGCACTGTGGTGTGACACTCGTGCTGCTGCCCGCGGTCATCGGCATTACGTTCATCAATTCTTCTGAATGTTTGACGACGAGGATGATGATGAAGTTGATTTGGATATAACTTCGCTTTGCCCGGATGTATGTGTTGTTGATGATGATCCTCTCGACAGTCGGAAACCCGTCAGATTCGGCGTATGTACTTGAGCGTCGTGTCCAATCTTGGAAACTGTTCCACAGAAGCAATCAATAATTATAATAATCCCATGTTTACAAGCGATCTCGGGAATGTGTAATTTTAAATTTTCTCGTCACTTCGGGCTTTTTTTTTTTTTGGATGAGGGATTAAATGCGTTTCCTTCTTTTCACTTGGAATATGATTAAATGGAAACGCTTGAATAATTCTCGTCAGAAAGACGTATTGCATTTGATCAACGATTTTCGGGTACCTTGAAAAATGACGGATTTGTGTATGGAAGTGTGAGAAGAATTGGTTTTTTGTCTTCTTCTGCTGTGATCAGTAGAGAATGCAGTACAATGTCGTTACAACAAAGTTTTCACTATAATAAACTTTTCCTCAAGTCTCACCAGAAAGCCCATAGAGTTTATGTTCAAACAATATCTCACCATCACAGTATGACAAACTTCCCAATTATTCCAGTTTAGCAAATGATTTTGTCTGCAACCGGAGTTTCTCCAGATAGAAATGTCCTAAGGCAGGCACAGTCTGAAATACCTGATCCCAGCAAACGTAACTGCTGAGTGTTGACTGATTCTTGTGGCTTAGATGGAATCTGCAATCAATGAAAAACATGTATTCAAGTGGTTCCACAAATCATCCTCCCAGAATAAAGATGCTATGTTGGTGCAGCTGCTTGATTGAAGCTAATCTTTGTTTCCAGAAGATCACTCTGTTTTTCAAGCATTAATAAAAAATCTGAGAATATGCCAGAAAATCAAGATCAATTGATTATAGGTTGGTCTGATGTGAAAATGTTTTCCAACATAACAAATTATTCAGTATATGAGAAACTCTTTTCTGGAGTCATCCCTGAAAGCTTGGTGTAATGAGATTTTACTGTGGTAAACTACTCAGGTGAATTTCCCGCTGAAAATGATGGATTGAAGAATGTTGAGGGATATATATGCTTTGGTTCCTGATGAGATTGACATCCGACGCAGCATCAGCTCAGTTATTGATTTTTTGAATGTTTTTCCCGGTGACAAATGTGGCGCGGTTTTTTTTTTCTGATGCACACGTCGCTTATTTTGCCGGAAATATGATGGGAAGAAAAAGTGCTGACGTGCCATGATTTATGTCGCAGATAATATGCTTTCGTTTCTTTTCCTCCTCCTCATGCCTCTTTGTTTTGCGAGGGTTGGTTCATAAGTTTTGAGACTTTTTTTTAAATGGATCATATACAGAGTTTCAGAAGAATTCAAAGGAAAAAATGTTTATACCCGCACAGTCCCATCATGTGGTAACACTTTCGTGCTGCTCAACATACTCTCCGCCGATGTCATTGCATTTTTCGGAAATAAATTCAACAATCAAAACTGTGCAAAATATCGAGTCCTCATAATTAAGTTGGCACCTTCAGACTTTCCTGTAAATGAAGAATGACGTGAAAGAGATCGATTTTTGAGGACAAGGACAGCCTAATTTCCGCCGTCAAAGAGCAGCTTAATCAAGTAATAGAACTTGATAATTTTGGCACTGGTTTTGATGGATGGCTTTGTTGCATGAAAAAAGAATGCATTAAATTCGGCGGAGATGCGTTGAACTGCGCTCAAGTGTTGCCAAACGATGGGTCTATGCGAGTAAAAAATATTCTTGGAATTGTTGAAACTTTGTTGGATCTATATTTCATAAAGTTCCCAAATTTATGAACCAACCCTTGTATTTTTGCAAGTGCTCTATAGCTGCGTCTTCTATATACTTGTGATGATAAATGTGATCAAGGGATCATCTGTTTATGGTTTTTTTTTTTTTTTGCTGCCCCCATATGAGTAGGTTTCATCTTCAAGTGTAATTGTTTCTGAGTGACTTTGTATGGGGGCGGGTAGGAGCTGGGAAGAACGTGGTTCTCTTACACATGCTTTTGGTCCGCATCGAAATATGATGGTGTAATGATGCATGATGTGTGTGTCTTGGTTTCCCCATTGCTGGATTTTACATTGCTGCGCTACATATGCTTTATTTGCTGAAACTGAGAAT